CATACATATTACTTGCAGCTCATACACCTAATGTAAAGCCTGGAAGAAGCTTTTGGTGGTTGTGCAATAAGAATTATGGATAAGGCACAAGAATCTGTTAATTACTTGTTGTTTAGCTTAAATCACTCCTGGAAAAAAATCTTGCCAAAGGCAAACAAAGAACACAGAAGTGCATATAAGCCAAAAGCTCTCTGATGGGTGGGCAGATGTGTTTGTGATGCTACCATTGCAAGGCTGCAGCATATCTTCCTCCAATAAGTTCTCTTAACTGCTTTCCTTTGTCTTGAACTCTCATGCCCCACACATCAACCATCTTCTAAAGGTCCCATGACAAAAATGGTGGGGGGGGGAGTCAAATTATCACTGTTTGCTGACTATATGATCCTATGCTTAGAAGATCCAAAAAGGCTCCATGAGAAGAAATCTAGAACTAATAAATTCGAAAAGTAGCAATTCACAAAATCAACAAACAAGAATCAATAGCTTATCTATATACCAACAATTTATCTGCTGAGAAAGAAATCAGGAAAACAATACCATTCACAATACCCACCCACCCCCCAAAAAATGAAATATTCAGGAATAAATCCAACCAAGGAGGTGAAAGACCTTTACAACAAAAACTATAGAACACTGAAGAAAAGAAACTGAAGAAGACACAAGAAGATCTCCCATGCTCATGGATAGGCAGAATTAATAACATTTTAGTAACAATGGCCATATTACCAAAAGCAATATATAGATTCAATGCAATTCCTGTCAAATTATCCTCATGATATTCTTCATAGAACTAGAAACAAAAATCCTTTGAAATAATAAAAGTTTCAGTATAGCCAAAACAATTCTAAGCCAAAAAAAAAAAAAATGTGGCAGGAATCACAAGAGCTAACTTCAAATTATACTACCAAGCTATAGTAACAGAAACTGCATGATGCTGGTATAAAAACAGACCAAGGTAACAGAATAAAAGACACAGAAATAAGCCAGCACCAATACAGTCATCTGACCCTTGACAAATGTGCCAAAACACACACTGGAGAAAAGATGGACTTTTTAAAATATGGTACTGAGAAAAATGGTTATTGGAATCTAGAAAAAATAGACTAAAATTTTATCTCTTACCTTACACAAAAGTCAACTCAAACTGGATCAAAGGCCTAGAATTAGACTAAAAACTATGCAACTCCTAGAAAAAACCATAGGGTCACCTCTCCAACATGTAGGTGCAGGTAATGACTTTTTCAATAGAACTCCTAAAGCTCAGGAAATAATACCAAGAACTAATAAATAAGATGGCTATCAACATTGAAAAAATTAGGAAAATATGTGATATGAAATTCATCAGACAATATATTTGCTAAAGGTTACTTTCCTATCTTCTAATAAAGTAATGGCAAAAGAATAAAAACAAAATGGATGGCATCAAATTCCAAAGCTTTTGCGTGGCAAAAAAGAAAAAAAAACCCAAGAATGTGCAGAGAGAACCTACAGAATGGGGTGGGGGAGCTATTCTTCTGACAGAGAATTAATATTCAGAATATATAAAAAACTCAAAAAACTTATCAAAAAACCCAAACAATCTAATTAATGAATGGACAAATTAAACACATACTTCTCAAAAGAAGAAATGCAAATGATCAACAAATATATAAAGAATGTTCAACACTTTTAGCAATTAAGTAAATGCATATGAAAACTACACTAATATTTCATCCCAACCAGTTAGAATGGCAGTTACCAAGAATAGAAACTATAATAAATGCTGGAGAGGAGGTTGAGGAAAAGGAACACTTTTATGCTATTTGTGG